GGAATTTTTCCTACGCATCCCTCAATATACTGATACTGATACTGATACTGACGTTTCGAGCTCCATCGCGGATTCATCAAAAGATATTTAATCAGAGAGCGCTTCTTAGCTGTTGTGCATCAATAGGGAGTGCAAGGGCATTCGCCTTTATCCCTTTTAATACATTTCACCGGACTTGTGCTGACTAAAAGTATATTCCTCTACTCTTCAGGCTAATTAAGCACAGAAGCACCTTTAAGCGGAGTTGAATGCAGTTACAAAGGAAGTGTCTAAACCACAGAAGCTGCATATTTAACTTGGACCTTCTGTGAGTGAGCAACGTCTCCGAAGCCGCTAGCCACTTTTCAAGCCACTCAGAATTACAGTTGCACAGCAAACACAAACAACATTCGTCTGCCGATTAGTCAGATTGATGTACCCACTGCCAGGACAGGTAACCTCGGGTATTTCTTTTAGTGAATATGATGCAACTGCTGAAAAAGGAAATAGGCAACATATTTCGAGGGCATAGCCTGCACGATCACGACCGAATATGTGACTGTTACGAGCTGCAACGTCCGGGCCCTATCAACAAACTTTTAGGTTGTGCGAGTCAGACAAGAGCGAAATGTTTACTAGTCGAATGTGCCGTCGAGGTCTTGCGTCTTCAATGACCGACCCAATTCGATTAATACCCACAGAATTGTCCGTCTCTTTGATCTTATAAATTGTCAGGACAGTTTATGCGAAGCCATCACACTGCTGCATCTTGTCTGAGGTAAGCTGTTGTGCGAATATTGCCCTCTAAATCACCAGCGCCTACAAAACTATACGGTTGCTAGCAGGCTCGCAACGCGTCAAAACGGCCTTTACAGCGATAGAAACGATAGCTGCCATCCTTGTTGAGACAAGTTGTTAAATTTCAACAAATTTGTATTGAAACGTAAATATGCGCGTCTCCACACCCCTGCTCTGTGAATGCATTTGAGGATGGATTAAAACGAGAATTCAGAACTTCGGACAAATTAAACTTCTTGATTCAATCCTTGTATCTCCTTACTTTAACTGCTGCCGAGAAATCGCAACTTTCATTTTATTGGCTATTTTACTCTTCGTCGAACATTATATTAAGAATAGTGGTGCGAATTTCCGTTGAGATGAACTCCATAGTTTCAGCTATGCCTCAATCGGCCGATCGGAGCTCTTAGCTATGTGATCCTGGGATCAGGCAGATTTGCTAACGGACGTACACAAACACTTAGGCATAGTAAGTTGCTGGGAAACCCGAGCAGACCTAGTTGTTGCTCACTGCGTTTTCAGGCATAGTGTAGACATTTATTGTCTCAGTGGTGGGTATATATATTTGTTCCCATAACTGGTTCACGAAGTTCTGCGCGCTGAATTTGCGAGCGATTGAGCAAACCAGCGGTGCTTTACGTGCGACATGACAGGATAAAATGTATGATGAGGAAATGTGTGCTAAGCTTTGGTTAATCGTCATGGCAAGTCCAATTTTGGGTTTTGGTAAGCTTGATGATAGAAGAAAGAAGCATTTGTGACCTATACGTCTTCAAAGCGTCATGGTGTGTATAAGCCCGGACTGCGTAAATTTCATGATTCAAAAACCCGCTTTGTATGCCCGAGGATCTTACATTTGTGGCTGCGTTCTGCGAGTGATGTCTATATTTGACTGACCACATAAATAACACTATCTAAGTGTTCTATTATACAAAGTCAGTACCGGCTACATGTTACAATATTTATACACATAAAAAAATTATTATTGCATAGCAAAGCCCATGTAAAACATTGCATTGTTGCTCCAGACTGTGCGGAAATATTGTGCAGAACCACGGCCAATGCTGATTTTCAATAGCTCTTTTCCGAAAAAGTTTCATAGTTTTAGCCTTATAATTAGCGGATAAGAATAGTATTCCTTTTTTCTGCTGGAATCCGTTAGACCGTAGCCTCGACATGTTATCATCCATCATATTTAAATTACAGACTAATACAGGAGTTTAAACATCCAACCAACCACATCCTTTTGTGCATTACTACAGATGAAATTAGAGAATAAATGAGAAGAGTCAATTCACCAAATGACAATTTATTTGCCATTATTGGGGGTTCACCAATTGATTTACTGGGTTATTTTGTAGGTTATTTGATAGGATTTCCCAGGTCGCAGGTTACGAAGCAAATTTTGAATTTTCGGATGGTTTCTAATACTCTCCGGTAACTGATTCAATAATTCATGTTCTTGTCCAGGAGTTATCTCTATCCTTTGCGGCTGCTGAGATTGTTGCGGAACTTCTGGTTGCCAAGACGTTTGTTGTGGTCGTTGCGGAGCTGGTTCCGGAGCTGGTGTCGGTTCTGGAATGGGTGTCGGTTCTGGTTCTGGACCAGTCTTTGGCGCCCGTTCGTATGGTCTTTGACCGATGTAATTGCCTCTGTAGAAGAAGGTAATGATTTCCAGTCAAAGCGTTATTAATACATATTTTGAGCATTACTAAATGCATGTCTACGTGACGGGTAGAGGACTTTGCATATATTGGAAACTGAGTTAAGGGTTATTTGTCCATGTGTGAGCCTTCCTTGGTCTACACTTGAGTGTCGGTGCTGGGTTTTGTGTTTGCATGGTAAGGCATATTGCTTTCAATAAAGCAAGCGATTCGAA